CGCGCTCAGATGGGTTGGCGGGGCGGGCTCGGGTCGGGTTGGGTCCCGCGCAGTCCTGCCCGAGCGAGTGCGTGAGTGAGGAGTGCAAGGAGACGAGCCAGACCGGACCAGACCCGGCGAGGGCAGCAGACGCGACCCCGACTCAGCCGCGCTTCCAGCCGCTTCCTGGCCGCCGCAGCCACCCTCTCTGCTCAGCTCCAACCACCGTCTCTTCAGTCTCATCAAAAACGTCGCCATGAGCAAAGGTGAGTGATTTGCATCACGCGTGTCGAGGGAGAAAATACATCATCACTGCCGTCGTTTTGTCAGGATGGATTTTATTGGGCGATACCATGTCGCTAAAAAAGCCATCATCGCCTTTCGGGGAAATGGTGTACATACGCCCAGAGACGCAATTTGACCCACTTATTCGAAAAATCTTAGACATTGAGTCAACACAACATCTTTTTTACTAGAGTAGTTGTTGTATCAGTTACGAATGCACACTGATACAACAGTAGTTTCCAGTTACTAGTTTTAAAAGATAAACGAAAGTAAAAGCCACAAAGTACGAACAACTTTACTGAATTTTTCGGGGACATATTACTAAGCGTAAAAAAAAAAACAAGTAAAAATGTCGAGGTGGCCTCAGCTAAGCCACTGTGATGTTCGGGCAACAGCCATCAGTTTTCAATGCCGGCAAATGAACGAAAATGTGTTTTCCAAAATCGATAGAGCATCAGATATACCAATAAATAGTCGAAAAAATAACATAAACGTGCCACTGGAAACTGCGTAATGACCACTGGGCGATGACGCCGCCGCACGTATTTCGGTTCTTGTGAAATATTGTCTGCGAGCGAGCCCTTTACTTAAAATTTCGATTGCATTATCGGATTTCTCGTCAAATTTCCGATTAAACGATCCATGTGTGATACGGTTCTGACCGGTTCTGACCTATAGTTTGCTTGCTAGGAACATTTTGAGGCTAATGTCCTTTTCAGTTTTGTTAATTGAGCTGGGAACCAATATAAACTCGTTTTATCGGAGAAACTTTACGGGGAATCCGATGGGTGACATCGTAAATTAAATTTGGGGGCTGTCTTAGAATATTCCACAAGAACTGAATTACGCATGGAGTCATCGTCATCATCTAGTGATCGACAAGCGTCATTACGCAGTTTTCAGTGTGGACTGAACCAAAAGTTCGGTTCAGCCTACAAGATCTTTTAATATGATTAACCTAGTGTACAAGTATGCACTATTAAAGCGGAGTAGGGGAGCCCTTGAGGTTTGTAGTAAGCAAGCGTAAAGTTCCCCTCGGTCCTCGTGACTCGCCGATCTCACCTCGCTACTGCCAGCCTAAAGCCCCCTGGCTTCTGATACGTGGTGATAACCCGCCCCGGCGGCGCCGAGAGGAGCATGCATTCTCCCCCTCACCCGTCACCCCCCCCTCTCCCTCTCTCTCCCTCTCTCTCCCTCTCCCCCAGCCCCCTCCCTCACACCCGCATACGGTGGAACGCGGTTAATTGCCCGTGCGGTGTGATTGGGACGGGATCATCATCAAGTATTGAACCAGGACGATAAAAGGAAATAGGCGACGGAGTCGTAAACGGGAAGGAAAAAGCCGCAGAGAGTATTGTACAGTTGTTTGCAACTGCGTAGTGGGTAAGTTGAGTTATACAATGTTTTGGAATCAAACGCCAGAGAGTGGAGGTGAACGTGATCGCACCAGAGTGCGTCCCGTGTTAAATTTAGATCGGCTTACGCGCACTATCATGCCATCCGCAGACAACTGGTAAAATAAACACACTGTTGCTTATATGTATTTTATTTAAGTGTTTACAAATTTTATTTTTTAAACTTTAGTCGGTAGAAAATTAGTACGAACAGTGCTAGATGCGGCTAGATGCCTCTGAGATCTTAGGAAGCAATGAGCAGCTTAGTTTTAAATGGAAGGATAAACACACAAAAATCTTATGGACTATTTGATTCATAGCTTACTGAAATCTGTAAACATGCTCAGCTTACGCATTTTATATTACGCCAGTATGAACAAATTTGTTGACTTTGTGGACTTCAATTTCGACGATGAACAAATTTGTTCATACCGGCGTTTAAGGATACAAAACTGTCGCTTATTCGACACGTTTGTAACAAGCGCTTGCCCACATTCCAAAATTAATTAGTTGAATTAAGTACAGAGCTAGGCCCAGAGTTAGTGCTGTCAATCGTCATCGAGCGGGTAAAGACAATATTTTTTTTGCAAATGTTTTACATTTTAAATCGGCTGGAGTTTATGCGATAAATAGCTAAATGATTTTGATCGGGCAAACAAGACAAGGGGCCACCGGAGGCCACGCACGCGACGCGAATGGGGAATCGTCGCTTTTAACAGAAACGCACCGCGGACTGTGGCCCGCTCGCGCCCAGTGGGTTTTCCCCGCCCCCACAATCTTCGCATTTACTGAACGCTGCCGACCGAAGTCCTGTTGCAGACCCATCATTATATCCTTTACGAGTCGCGCAGTTTGGTTTTGCTGTCAAATATGATAGTCGTCGAGATGTGGTGCGGGTTAACCACGAAACATGAGACGATACCGGTAGCGAAATCTCTTACACCAATTAATTTCAACCGCCGGAGACGGATAAAGCCGTATGCACTTGGTAGAAAAACTGTGTCGGGCTGCCACTCTGCGCCATGGCGACCAAGTGCTCTACTACCTGTCATCGGGTTAGTGACTCCGTCGTGCTTTTTTTCTGTCCCTCCCTTCGAGTTTGCGCCGGCGGCCGACTTTGTAGTCGATAATGACCTGTCAATCAAACTGATAACCGCAGCTCCTGTCCAACGCTCGTTTACATGTGTTCTGCTCGCGTGCCAGATTCCCCAGTGCAGCCAACGAAAATGCTCGAGATTCCTTTTTGTTTTTTACTTTTTTGGGGGGTGCGGTCCTACTTCTGATAACCACTGTATGAACCAACCTCCGTATGCAACGTCCGTTTATCAAACGTGTACCGAGCAGTATGGTTGGTAAACACTAATTATTGGGGACTTTACTTGCTATCATTTTCATCACTTGTATGCAAGTTTTCCAATTGCTAGTTGAGCACTTCAGGATGTCCATAAGACTTGAGCTCCTGTCGGCACCCGGCGATGATGTTTGTCTTCTATGGCCGCTTACGATTAACGACCTGATCCTGTTCCCTCTCCTCCTGCCGCTTATCTAGGCCCCCTCAGCTCAGCTCACCGCATATATTTGCCAGAAGTCGGGAGGGGGAGGACCGAAAGCAAAGCGGAGCGTAGTACATTGTGGGCTTAAGCCTTACAGAAGCATGTGTATGCATTGTGTGCTCTGTAAACTCAAGTGTGTAGGCTACGTACATGTATGCGTTATTAGCTGAATACCTGCATGTATGCAGAAAATACTTGCGTACATGATCACATGTACATCACATGTTCACACGTAGCGCTCTATGCTAAAAGCTATATGCCGAAGTGTGTACTTGGCCATGTATGCAGTATTTGCTGCACACATGGTCATGGTCATGTACATACTATTTGCTACATACATGATCATGTACGCAGTATGCTGCATACATGTAGGTATTCAGCAAATAACGCATACATGTACACACTTGGGTTTCCAGAGTGCATACACAACAAGGACTCTGCCCTGCTGTTAAAAACCGTAGATCTTTTTCACTTTTACTAGGCTGATTGTGAGGGAAGAAATGTTTGTGACTCTTCTGAGCGGGACGATAATTTTTCATGAACTGTATGCATGAACTTGTGCTGCCGTTGCCAGAACTCCTTCATTGTAAAATACTTGCAAACCACAATCTGTGATCAATTTATTTATTGGAAATTGCTAAAGTTGATGATGTAGATGGTCGGGGGGCTCGAGGTGCTCATGGTGTGCAGCAGATGCCTCGGATGTTTGCACTCGCCGCTCTCGTCGGCCTCCTTTTAATCGAGTCCCTGGGGCGTTACTCCTCCGCTCCTCCCGCGACGAGAGCGCGCGCCTCGCGAAAGGGCGGCGGGGCGCGACGGCGGGTCGTGAGTCCCGGGCCCCGCGAGCGAGCGGCCCTCATAGCCACGAGGAGCGATCCATCGCATGCGCGAGCGCGACCGCCACAAATTTAGAGCGTCAGTGTCTCGGAATCTGTCTCTGTGTGTGTGTGTGTGTGTGTGTATTTATTAACTCTCTCGGTAAGGGGCGCGCGTGCTACACCCATTGCAGACTCACTATGTGAGTTCCGAAAAAAGGGGGGGGGGGTCAGAAGATTTGTCAGCGCAGCATTAAAACGACTCATAGGCCTAATGAATTATTCAACTACTATAGTGCGTTCTTCTAAGGCGCTATCGTAAATTATTTGACCTTCAGAAGTGAATCATTTCACCCTGCTCATTTATTTCAACGAATTCCTACAATAAGCTACTCTTTGCCCTTTTCCAGTCTTAATTGTTTGATAAGAAAATTGCCTTGCAGTCAGCAATTCTCGGCCACCACCGTGGGCACAATGACACACAAATCTCCGGGTGCAAGACACGACGACACGCGCCGCACCGCACCGCACGGCCCCTAGGAAGACCGAAGAAGACGCTACTACTGTCTTCTTGCGGCCTCCCGCAACTTTAGCGAGTCTAATCCGAGGGGTACCCCGCTACCAAAATACAAGGAACGAGTTGCCGAGTTGCCGCGAGTAAGAGGCGAGTTGGAATCAATTTTTTGAGAGTTTTGCGCGATTTTAACGCGAGTTTTCGCGGGTTGGACACGAGTCGGGCGCGAGTTGAGCGCGGGCAAATAAAGCTAAAACGAGCTGGCCGACCCCTTTGGCGGTCTAATCCTCGCAGTGTAGTCCGCTGTCGGGGCGCTGCGAAATAGTCGGGCCGCGCGAGACAAAAGCAGGCAGCCCTGATATGTTGGCGTGGCGGCGGCCCTGCGCCGCGCTGCGCCGCGCTGCGCCTCGTGCGAGTAACGCCGCGACACCTATTAGCAGATCGGCGGGGCGGGGCGGGGCGGGGCGGGGCGAAGGATTGGGACCGATAAAAGGATCGTCGGCGCGCGTGTGGCGGGGGAGGGGGGGGGGGGTCACCCCGCCTTCACTCCTCTCGCCCATCATGATCCTTTACAAGCGGCCGCGCCGTTCGGTGTCCCTTTTTAAGGTCAGAGTGACGGTGAGCGAATATGTACCGCTACACGTCAGCAGAGGCCGTCGCACTCAAATAACCAAACTTGTTATTTTGCCCGGACCGGGCATGCTG